TTAGGATTTAGGTTGTTAGACAAAGTTATCGAGATCACGACAGTGGATCGATAAGCTTTTCTGTTTGAGTTCGAGACTTGCGTTACACTTGTGCCCTGAATAGTCATCTGGTTCTTATCTCTGAAATTCCTGCGAATTGCTTTGGTTTAGTGCTTGTTTTAATTCGAATTTAAATCGTTGTTTGCCATTCTGTTTACTTTTTAGTTTTCGTAACAAACCATCTTTCGTCTTAGCTTTAATTCAATCCTCGCAAAGTCATAGAGTAACACTGGTCCTCTGGATTTCGAATCCTTTATATTACAACTACATCACTGTTCTATTGCAGTAGGAACTAGGAGTATATCCAGTCTGAATCAATTATCTATCAGATCAAATAGTTTTCCTGGCCAATAACCGATATGGACAGCTGGTTTTTTGTATTTTACATATAATACTCACCAGTTTTTTTATTTTTGATCCTTCAATGAATAATAATATAAAAAATTACACATGTCAGATTTGATATAAGTATTAAAAAAAAAGACATCTAAGACAATCAAAAATCTTGTTAGAATTGATATATCCAAAAACAAAACAAAAAACAAACAAAAATGTATCTAGTATCTAGAAAAGTGTATTTGATCCATCATAATCTTTCCCTAAATCTTTATCTTGATTATATTTTAACATGATCAACTTGTTACACAATATATGTTAGACTTGATTTCTTGAAATAACAATTAAGCTTTATAAAAAATGAAATAACAATTAATATCTATTATATAGGAAATCATATATATGAACTTATAATTTAAAATTTAACATTTTCATATACTAACATACAAAAAAACAAAAGTTCTCAAACATTTTTTTTTCAATTAACGATCATATGTAAATCTAAAATTATAAAACTTATAATTCAGAATCGAATAGAATGTGGGTTACCTTCTGAATAGTAAGAGCAATGTTTCTTTCTTCTACATGAGCTTGACCTAAAGGTTCAGTTAAAGGATCCGCTTTAGACACTTGAATAAAACCAAGACATATTGTATTATAACAACTTTCTCCATTTGCACCCTGCCATTAATTAATCATATCCATGTATTAGTGTAATCCATTATCCATGTGATAAAAATAGTTTAAAAGTATATATACGTTTTAGATAAAAAAGAGTACAAGTACAATATAAAGTATATGTACATTAGTAGGGATATTTAGTTTATAATTACTTAGATTCAAAACATATTATATATAACATGCTCATTAAGGGGGTGTTTCGTAGGAACTGTGACTTGTTACTGTTATTTTATAAGAAACAATTTAAAAACTTTTGTAACTATGACTTTGAAAAAAAAAAGCTTCAATTTGTTGGCTTTAAAAAAAACTCACGCATGAAGAAAAAATGGAAGTTGGGTTTTGAGAAATTTTAGGAATTTTATGACTTTAAAACAGTAAAAGTTTGCTTCGAGAATTTAAAACTTTAAAGAATTTTAAAATAAATTAAAGTCTTAAAAGTCTCTTTCCAGCTGTAGCAATAGTTGTACCTTCCAAAATCCATAACTCCATGTCCATCCATCACCAAATATACTTGGATTTACCTGTGAGTCAAATTAAAACATTTCATTTTTTAAAGCTGCTGAATATAATAAAAACTTCTTTTTAAAATTTTTTCATAAACATTAAATTTACCATCCAACCGATTTGGTTAACATTATCTTTGCTGTTAACTCTTCTGCCAACATATATGTGAGCATATGAAGCTTGGTCACCACTAATATTCAAGTCATGTACACTTATCCAAGATGTTATACCATAGTAAGGACCATGATGCAATCTAACTCCTGCAAACTGAAAACTTTAAATCATTTTAATATATATAATCAAAACACAAGTAACTGAAAGTAGAATAATTGAGAATACAATTGCGTATTTACATGTGTCCCACGACTTTCAACTGTGAACGGATTGAAATGTTTTTTGCAAAATATTGACTCTTTGCTACATACTCTTTTGTGTTCCTGAGTATAGGAACTGTACCATTCAGACAGTCGATTATCTTTTTATAAATTTTGCTTTTAACTTGTTCTTTTGATTTATGAATTGAAAAAGATGGTTCCATCTACATAAATCATATTGTCACACCATATATAGATGAAGTTAGGGATTAAATCATATTAGACTTACCAAAAGTTACAACTAAGTTTTTTATGAACATGATGCTGACAAATATAATTTGTATGTGAGAAAGTTTGATGAATAAAAATACCTGAATTTTGTGGTTTTGGAGTAATGGATGATTTAGTGAAGGTTGTTTGTATAGATCAACACAATCGTATATCATCTTCTCATTTAACTATATGGAAAACATATATAGGAGATATATATCATAAGTTAATTACAAAATTATCAGAATAAATTAAAAAATTTGATACATGTCATCCCCATATTAACTCTCAAATGATGAATTGACATTTATATAGAGAAAGTTGGCCCTTTTTTATATATAAGACTAGGCTGTACCTACGCATACGCGCGAGTTTTGTTACACATAATATTTTTAAATAAATAAGTTTGTGTTGATATATATACGTAGTTGATTATAAAAATATGGTAATTTGCTTGATTTTTTGGTATTAGTTTTTTTTAAAACAAAATTTTTATCAAACAAATAACTTTTTTTTAGGATTGGAAGTAGAGTAAGTAAGAAAATTATTCAATTATCCTAGAAATCATAAACATGATATGAGTAAAAAAGACGTAGATAAATGCCATATTTTTTGGGTTGAATTGCTTGGAAACATATAACTACCTCCGATTTTTAATGTTCACATATTTATGACATGCACAATTACCATGATTTTGCAAGAACCACCCCATATTTTATGTTTCACAATGAAATGCAGCTATAATAATATCATAGTTAACCTATAAAAACCGGAAAAATTTTAAATGAAGAGAATGCTACATCTTTACATTCTTTCATAGAACAAGCTTCGAAAAAAGTGTTCATGATGAGGATAAGCCGGAAAAAAAAGTAAAGTTAGTACAAAAAAATATTAACAAGTCGTAGAAAAATATGAAAAGGTTAAAAATGTTGTTTATTTATTTTTATTAGGAATGTAGAAAGCCTTAATTTTAATGTAAGTTAATAGTTATGAACATAAATACATATGAAATAAACATTAAAAAGAAAAGTTATGTTAAAATTAGTGGTATTAATTAGTTTTTGACTTTTCATTTTAAAATTTATGATTTAATAATTATGTGAAAAGACGGGTGTCAACTTCTCAACTGCTGATGTGGCAAGTTATGGAGAGAGTTCACATACTTGCATATATACTAGAAGAGAATCCGCGCATATGTGCAGATCTTGTTTTAATATATATTTTAAATAATATATTTTTAGAATTTGTGTTGAATTTTATGTTTACTATGAATGTTTTTGCATTTAAAATATTTATATTTTTTATTTCTTCTTGATGATATATTATTTGTAATCTCTTCTACACAGTTATGTCAAATAGTCTAATTTTTCTCTCAAGATAATAAGAGACTAAAACTCTACTATTTTAATTTTTGTATGAAAACGTAATAGTTCACTTAAATATATACATTGAAAATTAGAGAGGAATATTTATTTATTCTTCGATCTTCATATTCTTTTTATTCTTGTAAATCTTACTAATATAATACTTGTTAACTTTCTCAATTTACCATTTTGAATTTTTTGGTTATATATATTTTATTGATTCCATTTTTTTTAAGATAAAACCATATATGACATTTTTACGTGGACATCCTTCTTATTATTATTATTTTTAATAACTTTTATCTCGTTTATTAAATATTATTTGTGTTTTATAATTTTATTAATTAAAGTTTTATATAAGATTATTTGAAACTTTTTAACTTATTTAGTCTCATAATTATTTGAAACTTTTTAACTTATTCTTTTGCAAACAGATGTTAGCCAACAAAATGAGGGCCATTTTGGACTTGGGCCACAATGATATTGAGGCTCAGCTGTGTTACAATTTAGTTTGTCAGCTATTCCACATCACATGATAGTATTTTGGTCAATTCTTGCGATTGTTCTAGATACTCTTTTTAGTTTCTAAATAAAATTTCTTAGTTTAAGATTCCTACAAGTTTTAGAAAATTAGTTCAAATTGTCCATATAAAAAAAGTTATAGGAGTTACAAAGTAAACGTGGAATTCATATCCTCTTTTTCGTCGACAAAATTTATTGATTTCGTTCTTTTATCTTACATTTTAATTTGTTACTACACTTTCTTTTATCATTTTTTGAAATCTTTCGTATATAGTGTAGTTTCTCATATAAAATATGATTTAATAACACTCATTGGAACAATCGAACCCCTTGAACCAATATATCTATTATCTTTTTTGTTTTGTTTATGAGACCCGACACAGACACAGCCATGTGATGATCTGATCCTGCAGACCAAGTCACCAAACTTAAAGATCCATTTCTCTAGTATTCAATGTTACTAATGCGGAGAAACGATAGTCACTTCTTGATGTGTTTTATCTTTAAACATTTCTCTGATCCTGTAAACCAAACTTAAAGATCCATTTCTCTAGCTAGTATTAAAGGTCCATGATTTAAGTTGTTAAAGATCCAACTTAAAGTTGTTTTATTTTTTGAGGGATAAACGTTCAAACGTTTAATTCTGAAACGATGTCCCGTTTGGGAAGTGGCAAAGAGAAATAAAAAAGTCAAGGTTAAAAAAAAAAATGTTACTATGCGGAGGAAAAAAAAGAGAAGAAAAAAACTTGAAAATGTTAACTCTTTATTTTATGGAAAAGGTCTCGTGTCATTTTTAGTTTGTATTCGGTAAAGATTTTTAACTTTCATATTTTAAGTTGCTAGGGATTTGAAATCATCAAAATACTTTTAACCATTGAACGTTTATCCCTCAAAAAAAAAAAAAAAAAAAAACACATCAAGAAGTGACTATCTCTCTTAAATCCCTCAAAGTACACTCTATGACAATTAATTAAAATCTCACATGCAAACAAAAACTGAAATTTTATTCGACCGAATCATTTTCGTGATCACACGTTCACAAGACGACATAGAACAAGTCTCCAAGAAATTAACACACACACATTCACTCATTCACACGATCCAAGAGAGAGTCTTCCGGATCTCAGACCCGACCCGACCAACACTCTCCCTGAGCGAAACGGGGCAGTTGTTCCGTACGGCAGTGAGTTCATACGGCGACGTATCGGTCGCAAGCCATTGCTCAACATCAAAGTTTTGGTGCGAGCACTTAGCGTGAACACCGGCCGTCGTGACTTCCACGTAGTTAACATACCAACCGTGGTGGTCGCCGGAGCCGTCGGAGGTCAGATTCAATGAACAAACTGGGCTCGGAAGACACGGTGCTTTCCCACTGAAAATGTCGAGATTACCCCTCTCGTAGTAGTTGTAACCTGGTCCCATTAAACCACCCCATGCCTCTAGGTCTCGGATCCCGATGTAGTCTCCGTATTTGTCGTAGATTCTTGCGCTTATGATCGAATCTGTACCGGCTTTGAATATTGATCCGGTTCTTAGGTAGAATGTGTAGACGCAATCTGCTTCATCGTCCTGCAAGAAAATCAAGAATTAAAAACCGGAGAGAACTAGAGTTTGTAATGGCTTGAACTAGTGGTGCTCTTTGTCATGATCTTAGATTCAAATCTGATAAAATGCTTTTCGAGTTGGACCGAAACGTACATAAAAGAGGGAAAATAGTCATAATATAACGATGATGATGAGATTTGAGTAACTTACGGCGAATGTGACGGCGGAGACGGTGGCGAGGAGGAGGGAGAGGAGGAGAACGTCACGGCGAGCCATCGTTGGTGATATGAATGTAAAGAAATGGAGATCTGATCTGTCTCCAACTATTAATAGATTTGCTGCAAATATTATACAGTAGTTTGAGATTTGAATGGGAAGTGATCATTATTGGCTGCTTTTCGGAGTAGCGTATGAAGTTGACGTGTCCATATCAGGTCCGTTGCAAAGAAAATATGTAAATCTTATAGGATCCTTTTTAAGTTTTGAGCACGTCGTTTAGTCAGCGGGCAGGTCGGCATGTAGATTTCAGACTATGAAACAACTCGAGTTGTTTATGTCTGGACAAGAAAAATACCGAGGATTGCATAATTTTTCCGTCAAATTTGATTTTCATTTTTTATATTACATAACATGTTTAACGTGGATTGGGGAAGAAATAAAGAAACGTATAAAATTGTAGGCCATATATATGATATGAAGATAATTCCTTGATATTTTTCAGGTACAGCTGTTTCTTTGTTTATATATAATATATATTACTGAAAAAAAAAATGAAAAAAATGTTGGATAGTAGCAACAAGGCAAATAGACAGCTCAGAACCGTTTATTGTTTCCATTTTAAGTTTAATCGATAGTATGTAAATGGAAACAAAATTCTTTTAGTATAATTTTTTAAATTTATTTTACTCATGCACGTTGTATATGATCTGTTTTTTTTATTATTATCTTACTCAATTTGGTTTGAAAAAATCGATCTCGTTAACAAAGATAGTAACGTCTTTTATTATCATCAATCACCATCAAACTAAATGTATGGGTTTTGACGTTTTGTAATACATGCAGATTAATAACAGAATGAAATTTGAAGCTTAGTTGGCCAACTCTAATTAAATAGCAAAATTTTCTCCAAACCAACCAAAAGTTTGAGTAATGCAACAACAACCACTTGCTTTTCCCATGCAAGCCCTAATTTTCGCATCTTCCCTCAATTCTCTCTCTTTCGTCTTCCCTCTAAACAAATCTCCACCACACATTCTATAACTCCCACCTTTCTCCGATGGAGGGGCCACGGCTTCCTCCTTCCGCCACCGCCCATGAATCCGACGATGACAAACCTGATGACCCTCCTTCAGTCTGGCACCGTCCAACCTCCAGCCTCCCCGCATTGCCCTCTCAAGATCCTCCACCACACCATTGGCGTAATCATTCTCTTAATCTCTCTCCGTTACTAGCCACGCCTCCTCCGTCTCTTCCTCCCCCGGATTCAATCCCTGAGCTAGAGACTTACGTTGTCCAGGTCCCGAGAGATCAAGTATATTGGACTCCTCCTCCGGAACACGCAAAGTATGTGGAAAAACGCCGCAATATCCCAAAGAAAAACAAGAAAAACGGGTGTTCTAAGCGTCTTATGTGGTTCTTTATCATCTTGGTCGTTTTTGGATGTCTCCTCGGCGCAATCACTCTCATCCTTCATTTCGCTTTCAGCCCCACTCTTCCTGTTTTCGCGGTCGAGAGATTAACCATAAAACCTAGCAATTTCGAGGTTACCTTGAGAGCCGAGAATCCGACGTCCAACATGGGGGTAAGCTATTTGATGAAGAAAAATGGTGTGGTTTCATTAACGTACAAGAACAAGAGCCTAGGACGGGGGAAATTCCCAAAGATGTCCCAGGCCGCGTCAGAATCGAACAAGGTCAATGTGAAGCTCGATGGGTCAACCAAGAACGCCGTTTTGCCACCTCGGGGATCAAAACAACCGGTGAGTTTGGTGCTGATGATGGAGCTAAAGGCGGAATATGAAGCAGGGCCGGTTAAAAAGAACAAGGAAGTGTTGGTGACTTGTGATGTTAAGGTTAAGGGCTTATTAGATGCCAAGAAGGTCGAGATTGTATCAGAGAATTGTGAGAGTGAGTTCAAGAACTGACACTCTATCTATATCTTTTCTATATTACGTGATTGTGTCGTTAGAGTTACAATGTGCTTAAATAATTTATACTTTCGATGTAATGTTCAATTGTTCATTTTTTCTTCTTCCCAAAATGTCTTTGTTTTTACGCGATATTGTTCAGCGAAAAAAGAAACGAGAAGTACACAATAGACAGTGTCTTTTTTTTGTGTTAATAAATGTATCTTTATTTTAGAGATTAGATATAATCAAAATTTAGACTATTTAATTCAGGTGGTCAATCAACCTTATTATTCAGAAGAAACAAAGTTGGATTTCTTTTCCTTGACTTAGGTCCATCCCAATATAATTGGCCCTGAATTTAAAAGTTAAAGCCCAACTCGTAAGACTTTTCTCATACCAAATTTTTACAAATTACAAGTATCAGTATTCCAAAAACTTTGATGGGATCGTTTTTAGTGCTATTAGTTATGGTATGGTTGAGATAAGCCTAAACTCAAGCGGTACACAGAATGATAGAAACAAAGTGTTTAGAGTTTTGAAAACGATTGTTTTTTTAAAACATAAAGAACTACCATTCCTTCTAAGTAGCACTCGAACCTAGCGGAGCACGACCCCTTTAGAGGAGCCATGCGTACGCCACTGGACCAAGACCTACTTTTGGTTTGCTGTATCAGTCTAAGCGCAATATGTGTTTTGAATTTAGTCAAATGTTATCTGCGATATTGAAGGGGGGTTGTTGTCCAGTCAGTAAATAGTGAAATGGTATGAGGAAAACAAAACTAAAAATATATTCATATAGCTGCAAATCATTTCTATCGTTGAACCAAAAAAAATGAAGAACACTAAAAGTCCAGCGTTTTTCCTTATTATTAGGCCACAATAAACTAATACCAGCCCTAAACAAAGCTACGAGTCTAAGATCATTGGATTCTTGAATTATACCACATATTTCAAAATCTAATCTTTGATTTGTAAATTAATGTTATTTTAACTATATAAATCTTTTGTTTTATAATCAAAATACAAAAACATTCGATTAATTAAGCCACTACATACCAAGAAAAGGTTAGTAGTCATTTTCACGAAACCAAAGTGGAGAAACAATAATTGTGTATAAAGATATTCCACTATAAAGTGAAACAAATAGGTCCAATTATTTATTTAGGGCAACTTTGGACCATTTTCACATTCTCAATTATGATAACATCATTGTCCCATATTAGAAAGAAAATAATAATCGAATAGTATATGTGCTTATGATTAATTTTGATTATGACCTCCACAAAAAGGAATGGGCTATATATTGCAATCCCTGTGAGGAGATGGATTCGGCTTTAAACTCTTCAATTAACAATAACAAGTATAAATTATCATCAAAATTATTAATTTAAGAGATTTGGACCGAATCGCATATATCTTTTCATCGGAATGACAATAGCCCCTTTCAAATTAGAATCAAACCAAATTCTAGTATACATTATTTTTAATGATATAAGTAACACTACTAACCCAAAATCTACTTAGTATGACTTTGAATATTGGTATTGATCCTATATATTGGCATAAAATGCTATACCGTGGTCGAGAAAACAGAAATAATGCCAGTTCATCAGTGTTTGTTGTTAATTAGAACAGACTGATGTTACAGTTTACAAACTATTATAAGAAACCCAATTTGAATAATTAAGTTGTTCTAATGCAAAATAATTATAAAATTTCGAGATACCTTTGGTTAGTATAGATTGTTTTTCTTTCTCAAAATTGGAGCGAAAAAGGAATTGTTAAATATGTATAAGTACATTTTTCTATTTGTTTTGCTTAAAAAAAGATGTTTCTAGCAATATACTTTCTAAAAGATAATATAAGTCACCATAGTTATGTTAAGAGTTAAATGCATTATGAACATCTATATGGTGTCAAATAAATATGGTGATCTTCTAAAATGAATGAATGAATATATATATATATATATATATAATGAATTATTAATTTAGGAAACCTTCAAACCCATATTGATGTAAGAATTGAAAGAAGTAAAACAAAAACAATTATCTTAACTTTTTGACAAAACACAAACCTTTATTTTTCTCATATAATTCCACGCGGTTTGTTGGTTGAAACGCACGCTTATGTCTTTCTATTAGTATTTCTCTGATTTCCTTCGCACTTTGCAGCACTAAAAAAAAGGTGTACATATAAAAATAGAAGTTTAGTTTTGGTTACTTTAAATTTTGTTATTTTGGCGTTTAATTAATTATATTCACCATCCACTCAAAAGACATTTAGGGGGGGTTATTGGGAGTTAGATTTATGAAGATTTTAGTTGATTTTAAAAATCATGAGATTTGTCAAAATTTTAAGAGTTTTATTGGATTTATAAAATTTAGAGAGAGTTCTATGGATTTAAACAATCTATTAAGAATTTTTTAATATGACAGATTTTGAGAATCCAAGGGATATAGGTAGTATTTTGAGAATCATGATTTATAAATTAAATTATAAAGAATTATTATGCCAATAACACTAGATTATAACAGAATCATAAAATCATTAAAATGCAGACTTTTTGAATAACAATGGATTTTAATTAGATTATAAAAATCATCATATCAATAACAACTGATTTTTATAATCTCTAAATGAATAACAGAGGAATCTATTAAGAATGTAAAAATCCACAAACCAATAACTATAGAATCTTAAACTCTAAAAATCTTTATAAATCAACTCTCCAATAACACCCCCTTAGATTTAGCAATTTTGTTTTTCAAAAAATCCATCTTTTAGACGTTTCTGTGAAGATAGTTATTCAGGTACAGGATTGGTGATCAAATTTTTGCGCTCAATAGTCTATAATTTGGGCCACATGCCTCCACATATCACCAAGCATTGAATGTCTTTTAGTAAAACATTGATTTGGTGGATTAAAGAAAATTTAATGTGTCAAAATCATTAAATATATTTATTACACTAATAAAAAATTATGTACATTCTTACAAAACCGAGAGTATAATATGGTCCTTTGGATGTGGGCAGCTATTTATATGTTTGATGTATATTGCGTCCTTATTAAGTCATTCTTTGGTGATCTTTGTAATGTATTGTAAACATTGCTGATCCGATATATATATTCAGATCAAAGAAAATAAGTTAATGGATGGTATTTCAACAATATGAAATTTTTTCAACAAAAGGTATTCTCAGTAATATGAAAAATTTCTCTCTTTCCCTTACATATTAAATTGGTTTGCAGCCAATTGGCTCTTGTTAAAATTTTGTACTTCAAATCCTAATATAGTGTCAATTATTGTTCGGACGTTGGAAAAGAGGTGTATTATATAATTTAATCTCCCCATGAAATAATATATTTACAATTTCACAATTTGCATTGGTAGCAAGAAGGGACTAGACACAAAAACCAGTTGAAAAAAAGAACAAGAACCTCTGTTTGTCGTCTTATTTTACTTTCTTAATCAGTTTCGTTCCCTGATACGTTAGAATCTTTATAAATAACAAACAATTATAATTAAAAAAAAAAAAAAAAAAAAACAAAAGAAAATATGATTCTATTGTACTTGTAAACTCTTCATGCCCCACACGTTAACTGTTTCCATTCCACCAAACGTTCTAAGAAATCCATAACCTAAAAAAACAAAAAAAAAACATATTAAATTAATAAAAATCCAAATTAAACCAAACAAAATACAGAATAATTATGTGTAGTGTATATAGAGTGTGAGAGCTTGCCTCATCTGGCTCTTGCAAAGAATAAGAAGCATTAGTCTCCTTTGCGTATTTGGATACAAGAATCCCAAGACCTTGTCTTTTATCTCTCAAAATCTGTTACAATTAATGTCACTTCAATCAATATTTGTATAACGATTAATATTTTTAAACAATTTATTTCTACATCTTTAAATAAATAAATTTGTCAAGACACTGAAAATATATATGTATATACCTTAAAGGCATCTTCGTCGGTACGATCATCTCCAATGTATATAGGAAAAACATCGGTACAATTAGTATATCCTACAAAGGTAAAATGCTTATCTTAATTTGTGAAATGTAATTAAGGGTTAAAACCACAAGTACGTATACTCCACCATTTTATGATAGTTATTAACAATGAATAGGGATGAAATAAAGTTTTACCGAGTGATTCTAACAAGAACTCGAGTGCTTTGCCTTTATCCCATTCAATGACTGGACGAATCTCCAACACCTGAAATTAAATAGGACTAAAAAGTGAACAATCATGATTAAAACAAAAATTCTTAGTTGAGATTTTAACTACTTATAAAATTTATAATTTTTTTCTCCAAATTTTTGATTAGTTAACTTACTTTTCTTCCTTGGGAAAGCATGAGCTTGGGGTAGTTCTTCAAAACTGATCGAACTAGATGGGCCAAGTAACTCCATTTCTGTTAATATATATATATATATATATATATATATATATATATATTAGTTGGTGGATTTTTATTTTTAATCATGTAGATACAAATGTAACGTAACAACTCACCCCAAAATAAAATAGAAGACAATCAACTTGAGTATATCGAAATATAACTAATAAGATATTAACATATATATATATATATCTTGTAACCATATGATTAAACTGATTTAAGAAAATCATCCATACATTTTCGTCTACGCATCGAAAGTGAACACAGGCACAAAATTTGTTGTTCTCAACTTTGGCTCCTGGAATCGATTTTGTTTTCTCGACTAGATTTTTATAAACCTAAAAAAAGAGAATAAAAAATACTTTAGAAATACGGATATAATTTAAAAAAAATCATTAAGTATTGGGGTAGAATGTGACCTCAGTGATCACCGGGAGAAACTCCGTCGCAGGTTGACAAAGAAGAGATCGATTTTTCTAGATTTTGTTTAAGAAATGGGAAAAATGAAGTTAAAATATATTACAACTCATGTTCAAAAAAAAAAAATTAAAATTCGTTTTACAATAGATTATGAATTCATACTTTCTGGTATTTAGATCCTTTCTCTGGTCCTTTGATGTCCATGCCATGACTTCCAGCATAGTACAACTCAGTTAATTTCACAAAACCATAAACCTGAAACATATATTAGTAAAGTAACATCGAAGTGAATATTTAGAAAGAAATCAATAATTACCACCGAAAGTCAAAATATAAACTTATGCGACACCTTCTCTCTGGATCTCCCACTAACTATGGCTGTTGGAAAACACATTGCAAGTTTCTTCACAGTGTTTCGCATCTGAAACAAATAATTGAAACACAACATTTTATTTAATAAATTATCATTTAAGATTTATCATTTTATCATTTTATAGAATGAGATACCGAGAGTATGCACTAGATAGCCCGCCAAATTCTATCTTATTATTTAAAAACGATGAATGGTAAAATCAATAGTTAATAAGTTGGTTTCTTCAAGGTTTATTTTTTTAAATAAATGACATTTTCTTTTTTTAATTATTTCATAATTAATATCATAGTATTGAAGCCTGATATTTACAAATATTTTGTTATTTTACTCGATAGTACGTTACTATTTATTTAAATACACGCAAACAAAACATCTCTTTCTAAAAAAATTTCCAACAATTTTGGCAAAAAGAATGGTTCGAAAAAAATTTTTAAAAGTTCAAAACATACCTTCTTAGACATGAAAGCTCTATCAGGATCATCAACAATAGGAGAGAGAGTACCATCGTAATCAAGAAACATAACGATTTGTTTTCCTTCAGATTCATGAACTATTTCTTCGAACATGTTCAAAGCTGACGGATGTTCTTCCTGCAAAGCCACAATTCTCTCGTTGAATAATAATAAAAAAAGGAATTGAGATAACAGAAAAAAAAAAAAAAGCAGGGGAAACAAGAAAACATTACGATCCAACAAGATTGGTTGTTGAAAGAGTTGAGATGAGTAGGAGAACAAGCTCTCATGGAATCAACCCATGATCGTATTAATCCTCCTCCGACGACGTTTTCGTCGTTGATCTGAAAATCGTGAAGAACTTTCGTAGCCGCCGACGTATCTCCATCGTTCCCTCTGGAACATAAAACCTCCGACTTTGAAATAAACATTTTAGTAATATTCTCTTCAATGAATCTCACTGCATTAGAATGGAGAGAAGGAAACATATAATCAGTAACACGTAAGACTTATATAGTTATTTCTATCCATAATTTAAATGTATATTTTTGTATATATATATATATATTGATCTATTAGTGCATTGCGGAAACAGAAAAAAATTACCCATATCAGGATATAAATCAAAACTTGAATTTAAAGTTATAAAGTGAGCCTGAATGTGTGTTTGGGAGAGACAGAGAGTTAGGGGTAGACTCATTTTATAGTTGAAGAAAATGTTTAAGAAAAAAAAAAGAAATATATAAATTATAAAACAAAGGGAAATTCAGATACTGTGTGTGTCCGAGTCGAAACCATCGAGTGCAACTCCCACTATACTGTCCACGTGTACCTATAGGTCCCATAACTTCCTCGATGGCTTGCTTTCGTTATTTGGCGTTGCAGCGTTCCCATCAAGTGCCACGTGGTCCCCTCCAATTTGATCACGCTGACACACGAATAAATAGATATTTTTATTTTGACATCGAATAAAATAGATATTTATTTTTGGAATTTAACCAAATACGTTTTGTTTTCGACCATCACATATAGATAGGGCTGGAAAAAAATATCCATGAATCGACATCCAATCCAATATCCGGTTCGATTCGATATGCAAAATAAGATTTCCAAATTTTCGTATTTTGGATAGTAAAATTTTAAAATCGAATTCATGCATTTGATCCATCTGTTTATGTATATAATTTTTAAGAATATATGTAAAATATTTATAGAATATGTAAAAATATATGAAATTCATGAAAATTGAATAAAATTTGCATTTTTCATTTAAAATCCATGTTATTCAAAAAATGCAAATTTCATTCAATGTTATTAAGATTATAAGAATCTATGAACTAATAATAGTGAATTTTATTAAGATTGTCATTTTTTATAAACCGATAACAATAGAATCTAATTACTCTGCCAACTGTTAAAAAAATGTTGAGTGTATTTGATATCTTGGGGCTAATTAAGATTTTTTTGTTGCAACAGAAACTAATATTATACTGAAAATTTTGAGAGTGTTTATTAGAAATTTTACATCAAAATTTTAAATGATACCTGAATAGTCATAGATTAATGCACTCCTTTTAATTGGTTTTGAGCTATTAACCGATAAATTTAACAATCTTTGATGGAAATAAAAAATGGTAAAAGTTGTGTTAACAACAGAGGTGTAATCTCCGAGAGCAGTTACATCCGCTAACTTACGACATTTGGAATAAAGTTGATGAGGTAGTAAGCATCTAGATTCCTTATGCCTTATGACCACATCTATTACATTTAGTATGAAGTCAAGAGTACTACACATCCACCATGGAGACATTGCCCTGTTTTTCCTCATCTGATTTTCTAAATGATTTATCTAATTCAAAATAAACCATGATCTTAGTCTCATCATTAGTGCGGGATCAAGTTTTGGTTTGTTGATGAGCATATAAAGATTCACTTGATTAAAAAAAAAAACTTAACTAATCCCCTTCTGATTAGATAGCTTTGGGATGTTTTGAGAATAACTCAAACCGAAATAGTGAAAATCTCAGGTAATGATAAAAAAGAGGCAGGAAACTCCAAATGGGCAATTGTAGCTAATTACCTGGTCAAATTCTAAAGATCATGTAGTTAGAATCGATCTGATTTCAATGTAAGTTCAAAATATATTAACCAAATATACATAAACAGACAACATACACATAATTCAAAGAAAAGTTAAAATACATCAAATTTTCCAGATTAGGTTCGATTGAGTTGTATGTAAATCTAATTTTTTTTTTGTTTAAAAATCTAAATTTATACGTAGGTCTCCGTTCAAGAAACTCGGAGATAAAAAAAAAATTCGAAAGTGTACCCACCAATTAGCTTATTTTAGGGTGCTTAATTTTAAGACGTGGAATACTCACACATATAAACCAATCACCATAACATGCAATTCTATTTTTTTTTAATGTTTTTCGCATGCAATTTTATAATGAGACAAAAGAATCACCAGGGTAAAATCGACAGGATTTTGTTCTTATTCGGTCTCAATGAGTTAACAGCTGTTGTAGTTTATTAAATGCCACATGGTTAAGTAGTTTAACAGTTATGTATCCAGTCAACGTCAGGCACATAGTCCAGAAAAAAACAATTAAGCAAATTCCTTATTAATAGTTTCAGTGTTCTCATTGGAGATCTATCGAAAAAAACAAAGTTGCTTCGCTGAGATTAAAAGTAAACGGATCGTTTCGTAGTCTTGAGTTCGTGATGATGTCCCGACTCTTCAGATATTTTTTATCTACATCAGATGGGTGATGTTGACACTTCGTAGTTACTACGTTTGTTTATTTTTCTGTTTAATTTTTACCAATTCTTCTTTACTCAATCAGACATTCACAATTAATATTACATAATTTTGACTATTGGCAACGAAGAGCGTACTAATCTGCTTGCTAACTAGACATATTTTAATTCATCATTTGAAAAAAATTGTTCGCAGTGATGCAGATAAATAAAAGAAATTGTTTCGTTTGAAATCTGATCCAAAACAAATGGTTTCAGCTTGATTTCTCATATAGTATCACTGATCAAGTATTTTATTTGTTTTACAAAGAATGTCGATCATTCCAATAATTTTTTACATTTATTATCTAATTTTTTTGTGTCACTAAATAAGTTTTTCGCTTTAATTAAAAACTAAAATAGTAAAGATAAAAATGAAATCCAATTTACAATATGTTTTGAAAATACAAAAAAAACACTTTTTGAGAAATAAAAATATAACCTTTAAATAACATTTTTATGAAATGGATGTAATATATTGGACTATACAAGATTTCTCCATTTTCTTGATCGAAATATCCTCCATTTCTCCCAAATTTTTTAATAGATTAATGTTAAACGCAAAAAATAAAGTAGTAGTAAATGCATGTAAATTTCCACGTTTAAACTAGAACATGCAAATTCACAAACAGAGTCTGCTCTATCCGTTGCAACCATTTAAACTTTTTAAAAAATGATGTAACAGTCATTGCGTTTATTCGCAGTGAAAAAAAAAATATATATATATATATTAATTTTCACATAATTATTTACTGTGGATATGAGAGCAACAATTTTCATGAAAAAAAACAATGTTTTCTATTGTATAAAATACAAGAAAAATAGCCATTCCACATGTTCACATGTGTGGATATGCCATTTGTTCTGATGCATATATTTACACCTTGAATCGCTCCAGTGTTTTGTTAGCTATTAAGATATATAATCGTTTATACTTTGTTTTTTTTGGTCAATATACTTGGTTTTTCAAGCTTATTGAATCAAAGCTCAAATTATACCACAATATGCACATTAAATTTATGTTGCAATAATATAGGAGAATTCATATCTTCTATACCTGTCCCTTCTCCAATTCATGGTTTAGTCTGACATTGGAAGCCATCTCATATCACACAAGATAAGTCGGAGACTATGGACCACCTTCCACCTTATGAAAAGCAATTTTGATCGAGTTACAGTCGTACTATTTCGACTAGCTTTTCAAGCTACTTACTCTTTATCACACACACATATATATATATATAATATATATATAATATATATATATATATATATATATTACCTCTTTGCGTTATTTCGACTAGCTTTTAAGCTTCGTGGTTTTAAGATCGACACTACTAGAAATCGGAAAGAGTTGTATCAACATATGTCGGTTCTTTTGGAGCTCTTTTAAGTTTTCCTTCTAATGTAAATAATAATTATTTTTTGTTAAGTAATAAATTTCACATTCCAATAAAAAAATATAAGAAAATTGTGCAAGTCATATATCTTAGTACTGTCTCCAACATTAAATTCGATCAGTAGACTGACAAACAACCATTAGGAAGAGTATTAATAAACTATCATATGCACTACAAAGAACTTAGAACTGGTTACATGGGGGTGCTGTATTTTACTCCACATAAAACGTACGTACAATCTGTGCAGCAAGAAAAACAAAAGTATCATTATATATAATTATATCGTACATGATCTTGTAGGTTTAGTTCTCAGCCAGGTTTTGGGACCGACAGTTCACGTGAACCGAATCAAAATAGTCTCCACCAACCACGTGACCGATCTCTACACAGCAAAAGAGTACAATATATACTCAAGAGAAATACAATGTTCAAGTCTTTTTGTAAGATGAAAGGTTTACCATTCTTATCGTGGCATTATAATAAACTAGGGTTTGCAAAAAAAAAAACAATTTCAATATATAGAAGCAATAATTTTGTCGAATGTTAAAAAAAAGTTATCGCTCAATTTTTATTATTTTTCTTTTAAATTTCATAGATTTTTAACTTAAAACCAATTAACTATAAATAGATTGATTCATATATTTTATACTTTAGTGTTGATCTTTTAAATTGAGTGGATATGAATCATTCTTTGAAGATCGGTAATAAACCCCCTCTTGGGCTATTCTATTTAAGTTAACAAATAAAGCTCTTATATTATGGTAAATTATATAAGGTCTCAACCAAAAATCAATTTACTATAAAAATGGATTGACACATATCTTAAACTTCTGAAGTAGTCTTAACTTTTAAATAAATTTAAGAAAAATAAAATTTGCCAAAATGTCATACATATGTAACCTAAATCCTTTTATTTTACCATCACTCGTTGTCTGGACCCTCGTTGACTGAAGACTCAAAGTCTCAAACAGGAAACACCAATCAGCAATAAATTGAAGGACAGTGCAATTTCTTATAAAACAATTAGTGAATTTTAAACCAATTTCTGACATTTTTTAAAATTTGCTAAATCAGGAAAATTATTTATTCTGGATCTCTTGTTCCTTGAGAACATGAAGTTAATACTTTAACATGAAAGGATGAACATAATAATTATAGAAGACTGCTAACGGGAATCCTATCTCCAAACTCTCAGCATATGATGGGACCGAGACAAACACTCATCATGCCACGTGAGTTATTTCAACGTACGGCCACTATTGGTTCTTACATGTTCTCATCTCTTGGTTTTGTTCTATTCTATCTACATTGTTGTCAATTTGTCACACAGCAAATTTTTATTTTCTGTAATTTTTATTCCACGGGGTTCAATGATGATCGCGAAATGGGTGATGCAGAGAGCAAACAAATGATATAATGGAAAAAAATATGGTTAGTGCAGAATGAACTAGACAAGTGATGCAAAACGAAAATTTTATTTTATTTTATTTTAATCGAG